TAAAAAAAACGACTGACGACGACAGACAAATCATTTTAGAAGATAACACCATTAAGGCTATATGTTCAACACGGACACAGTCACTCATAGAGGTTATTCCATCCTGCTCAATCAATATTGTAGATGTAACTGAATGTCAAGGAGAACCTTTTGCACAGATTGAAACAAGAGAGATAAGGAAAGCACAACGAGAAGACAAGATTTTAGGAACTTGGTATAGATCGATATTAGACAAACAATTACCAGACAAGTTTGTATATAAAAAAGAGGACCATATCATGAAAAGACATTTTAAACAATAGGGCCCGTAAGTCTCGTTTACTTTCACTTTCGATTTACCACTTCCGGGTACATCGGCAGACTTATTTACCGTTACGCATATAGGTAACCCTAAGAACTCGAGGGATATAGAAGTTAAATTTGTTTCGGTCCTCTTCAGATTTGAAGGAATGGATAGCACGGGTCAAAACATGCAGGTAGGTCAATTATCTGACGGAAAAACGAGGGATTTATAGAGTTTAATAAAAGTAGTTTATTTTCGGATAGTGACAATTGTTTCGGATGTTTTGTCAAGGTAGTGAATTCTAGTTGTTTAGCTTTTATTATTGTTTTAAAACTACTGATGTGAGAAATTAATTCAAACCATTTTAACTTATGAAATAAACAATGGAGAAACACTTTAATTCTAGTGTATATTAAAGTTATACAAAATTCGGACATTGCACAGTAATTCGGATATTTTTTCCCTTCTATTTTATTCTTGTTCCTTTTTCAATTATTATATATACATGTTAATATGGTACCTAGCAAATTATGATTGAATTAAAAAATATAATATTTGATTAAACCATTTCAGATGTAAAGGACAAGGAGGTATATGACAAGTATAGAATATACAGTTGTTCAATATGGGACCATTAATCAACTGTTTGCACTGCCTGTGATCCTGAAATATCTATACATCAAAGGTAAATACATGTTAAAATAATTGATTAATTTTTAGTTGAGATCGGAAAGATAAACAATTATCAAAATATATTATTATAATTTAATAACTTTTGGATTTCACTGCATGATAATTGATAAGTAAATAAACATTAAAAATAGTCATGTTTCACATTCAAGAAAGATCAATATTTTTGACTTGTTATATATTATGTGTTGTTGTTTATCTTTAATGTTTATTTACTTCAAATATGAAATTTTTTCTGTAAATCATGACCAGCTTATTAAATGTAATGTAAATATCATTTCTTAGTGTCTTACACTTGTAACAACATATTTTATTGATTTTTCATTCTGCAGATAAAAAGGGAAAAGATGAAGGAGGATTTGTCCATGAAGACCTTTATTGCAACTACCATCTTCCAGTTCCTTAATTTGAGAATGATATCAGAGAACACACAGTTACAGTGAAATATTAGTTTAATATAAGCCACTGAGAATAGTCAAATGTACTTTCCTGAAGAAGATGAATGACATCCAGCACAAAAATCTTAATGTATAAAGAGTATGATTTTATGGTGTTTGACACTATGATCTTGTTAACATGTTAATGTCACAATGATAGAAACAGAGTAAAATATCCACATTTCATTGCAGTTTTAAGTATTAAAACTAGATAATCTATATATACCAAAGCTGATAACACACCAGAAATAATGTTTTTTCATGGAATCACAGTATAGTCATATGACATTATGGACATTAAATGACTATGAAGTAAAGATTAGCAAAAATATTATATAATTATCATCTACTACTAATATTGTGAGGTAATCATTGATAAGCTCACAAATTTGCAATCAAAGCTTTGATATCAAGCTGAACATTTTTCAATTAGAATATGATTTATAACTCTATGATAATTTGTTCATGTTAATTTTCAAAGTCTTTACATTTGTAAAAGGAAATATTCTTATTCTTGTATCAGTAGACATTCACAGTGTAAAGTTACATTGTCCAAATAACTAATAATAATTCCAAGTGCTTTCCTGAAGTTTTTCTTCCACTGGAAAATCAGTGTGATATATATGCTAAGCAGTGCACTATAAATTGTGTAAAAATAAAAGTTTATTAAACTTATGAACTGTTTTTTGTTTCTACTATTTGGCATATATTTATAGCAGTGCTTGATCATAAGAGTTCATCTGCAAAATAAGTGTCACTGTGTACTTTAATTCTCTAACAGCAATGGCTAGATTGCTTGAATATGCAAGCATTGACTATATTAAATACTATGCATGTCATTTGAATTTTGTCTGTCCTGAAATCGAAACAGACACTATCTAAATAATATTGATGAAAAGTTCTTGACAGCTCTTCAATGACTACATTTACACATATCGTCGCTTTAGTTCCAGAGTGACGTATGTCGTATTTCTTTCATTTCGAGAAAATGAGGTTTAAAGTTTAAAAGTCTTGTATCTTTTTTACTATTTGATGAATTAATATGAGAATTTAGACATAAACAAAATGTGTGCAGATATATATGTATGCAAAATTTAAGTGTCATTCCTTGAATTGTTTTTTTAATATTTAATAAACAAAATATAGTAATGTCATTGAAAAATACGCTGTAGCTGTTTCAAATATTTTCTAAAGTGACGCATTGACATACGTCAATTTGGTTCGAAATAATAGTTTGCGTCAATTTGGAATGGACTTAAAGTAAATACAATTTGCTTACTTTTCTGACGTAACTTTATTTAAAAATATGAAAGCATATTCAAAATATGAAGATAATAACACTTTTATTAGTGAAAACAAAGTAACTGTTTCTATTTACATGACAATACATTTGTAAGATAATTTGTTAAAACAAAATCTTTGAAAAAAAAATTAACAATGAACAACACAAAGAAAGATTTTTAAACATAAGAAATAACATATTATCATTGACATATACATGTACTGTAAGTTGTCAATATCAAAAGTTTCAAGCATATTCACCGAAAAGTACTGCTGCAAACTATGTAAATCAATAGTTCAAATATTTATCATAAAAATCATTTTCATAAGAACATCAATGACTAACATAAAGTAAAGACCTATTATTTAAACACAAGAAATTCGGACCGCTTCATGAAATGTAAATATTGTAGTCATTTATCATGATATCATGTCCTTCATCTGTTCGAATTCATGTGATAAAATGTCTTCAATATGGCACAAACGGAAAGAATTATTATGAACGTAATTATCTATTCACATTATACCGATTATATTTAGGGTAAAGCAACTTTTAACTCAAAGACTTATGATCCCATAACAATCAGTTTAACTACATATTTGAACAAACATCCTAACTACAATTGAATAAGTTTCACCGCTAATTGACTTCAATTATTGTTTAACAGTTACTAGTTTACTGGCTTTGTAAAACTGTTGGTCCACTTCAGGCATATATTTCAGCATTTCTGAAATGTCTTTCTTCTTTTGATCTGACATAATCCTGTGACACTTTAGCATTTTTGGATTGGGCAGTTCTAGAATCGGTAAACTTTGTCTTGTTTTTCGCGTTGCAATTATAACTGTTTTAAATACATCTTCTTCATAGGAAAGTTTGTACCCTACTGAAAATGGTCTTGCTTTTTCATACTTGAGACACTTTACTTTAGTATAAGGTATATCATTGAATTTTAATGGCATTATGCTTTTTTGGTAATCCATGAAGTGATGCTTCTGCATTTGAATAAATCGAACTGCATTCTTGCGTTTCATGTTCAAGGATTTAAGGACCCGAATTAAAGATAGTGGACTATAGATTTCCGTGTATCTGGTTATACGTTCAATATTGCTATGTATGTTGTCCACTTCTTGGACACAAGAGTGTCCAGGACAACCAAATTTCTGAACTATACAATCTATGTCATAATCGTTCATAAATCGTTTCAGAGCTATTGTCATAATTGAGTTTTTATTTTGTGGAATGCAGTTGTCAGACCATAATGTAAAATACTTTATTGTTGGATGGACTCTTTTAACGTCTTTCAGAATAGTAACAATCGCACTAGCAATCTCATTGGCTCCTCTTCCGCCGATAATTTCATTCCAGATACAGTTGTATGCTGTTCCATCCTTTGATACGTGTGCGGTGAGATTATACGTGGCTAATTTTCTTTTATAAAAGAAATTGCTCACATTCGCTTTCGGTAAAAGTATTACATTTTCTAAATCAAAAGAAACAATCATGTCTGTTTTGTTCATTCTATCTTTGTCTCTTTCCATTTTTGTTGATTTTTTATCACAAATGTGTTTCTTATATTTTTCTTGAAATTCCTTTTCGATCGAGTTTAATGAATTATTATCAGCTCTTATCTTTATTGCTTCACATAAGTCACAACGGTCTTTTTTAGGTATATGGAAGCCGATATTATATTCTTTGTTGAATATTTCTCTGTACATACCCCTTTTTAAAGGCTTTCTTAGAATATTTGCACAATGTTCTAAGTATAACTTGTACATTATGTTTACATTTAAACCTGGTTCTAAATATTCTTTTGAAGAGTTTGAACGGCAGTAATGAGACGGTATTCGCTGAAAGGATTCAATATGCTTCCGAATGACGTTGATTTCATCTTCACTTTTTCGTCTCTTAGTTCGTTTCCCCCGCATATCTCTAAACTCGTTTCCTTCTTTTGTATCAACTTTTTTGAAGTATTGTCTGTAACGATTATCTGATATATGAAGGACACCTAGATAAAAGTCTTTACACACTTGTATCTTATCATCATTTCTGAAGAAAAAGAACTCATAAGTATATCTACGATTACTATCTTTTTTCTTGTTTTCATTAGTGCGTCTTGTTATTGTACGGGCAATGAAACCATTCTTTCCCCCATCATCGTCTAATGACCAATATCCGTCATGAATAGCTTGAATTTGTTCATCACTAAACTGCTGAGTACACTTTCTTCGACAATTGCTGGTTCCTTTACAATTTGTTTTGACACTCACTCTTTTCTGTGGTACCTTTACTCCTTGCCGGTTTATATATTCTTTACCTGCTTGTCTCCTCCTTTTATTAATTGTTTTTGACCACATTTCGTTATTTCTGACTCGTTTTCGTCCACGTGTAACAGTACCATTCTGACAAGACTGATTGTTGATATTTTCATTGATAGGTCCATTAAAAACCTGACTTTGATCACTTTTCTGAGTGTTATCATTTTCATTTTCTATCTCATTTGACAAATTTGAATTCGTCTCTTCATAGATACAATCTTCCTTAGCAGCTTCATATCTGTTTGGTAATGATATATTGTTATTATTGTCTAAATGTTTGTCAAGATCTAAGATGTCATATTCTTCGTTTGTGTCTCTTGAGTATACGAATGTATCAACTTCTTGACAGCTTGTTTGATTAAAATTCGCGAAGACATCGATACTATTTTCAGATACCATACATACATTGTCATTGTTCAGTTCGTCTAAAAATGACGCAGGCAAACTATTCAAGTCATATACATTCAGAGAAACAGAAGATTCTTGTGGATTGATATAAGTTGCTCTTTTCATCTCAAATTCATCATTAATTGTCATAGGATATTGAACTTGATTCATGTCTGTTGATGTGTTCGATGTTGCTTCATCATTGCAATTAAATGATAAAGGCCCTTCACAGTGAACTTGAATCACATCTGTAGTTACATTCATCAGTTCAGGGCATTGAATATTATTCATGTCCGTTGTTCTATTAATAGCTGTTTCATTATTACCACTAATATGAAAATATCCCGTGTATTGAACTTGATCATCATTACTTATTCTATTCACGGTTGTATCGTTATTGTTATTAAATGTACAAGGCATAACATCTTGATTTTGAGTCACTTCTAATGTTTTTTTACTTGTTGTTTCATAAATGTCACGAAAGGACATAGACCTTACGCATAAATTATTAGCTGATTCATCACTATCACTAGTATTTGTTTGTAATGGAATACTTTTTAAAAGTTTTAAGTTATCTTCAGAGTCTTCAAGTATCTCATTATCTGAATCACTATCCTCTAGCATGTTAAGTACTTGGTTTACACTGAATTTATTCATTTCAAAATCTGTATATATTTACAGATAACGATTCATAATGTCTCGACACAAATCCTTTGAGCCATATTTCATCTTCTTGACTTTCAACACTTAAATGCAAATATGCCAAATCTGGTTGTAAAATTCTTACACATTGTTCTATATTCAACTTTATGCCTGAGATATCTAGAACAGACAATGTTAAACTTTCACACACAAATGCTATAGTATCAGGCCTTATGTTTGTAAAAGATACATATAAGTGATCCAAATGTGCTAACTTTGAAATTATTTCGAAATCCTCGTTAACCAAATTTGTACATTCCGAAACATTAAGTATTTCTAAGTTGCAAAGCATTGGCAGGAAACACAGTGTTGAAAGTCTGCATCCTGTTAAGTCGAGCCAATACAGGTTTTTAGCATTGGATAATTTGGTAACTAGCTCAAAGTCGATTTCTGAAGACCCCAAATGCAGTGTAACGCCTGGGATGAGGAACTCAAGAAAGGCAGAAGAATGATCCAAAATGTTTCTGAAATTAGTAAGTGTCAGTTCTAGTGGATGGTCAAATGAAAAATGCTTCCACAGACAAGATGTTTTCTTCACAATTTCATTGAATCTTGTATGTGTTACAGACACAGTTTTAAGCAGTTCCTGTATGTCCAAATGACTAAAGATTTTTACTAAGACTAAATCAGGTAGATCAATTAAAGTCACCATCGAATTCTTGTCAACTTGGTTTTCCATGAATCTGAATATAATGGAAAAAAATGCATTAGAAGATGAAATGTGTTTTTCTTATGATATATGGTTATAATAATGTAGTTTTTTTATGTACAATCACAACAAAGGTCTTCTAGGTGCTAGTGTGGTGGCTGTAAAAATCTTCCGATATCTGGACACAGTGTTGTTATATCGTCTGAGAACAATATTTTAATAATACAGTTCCGCTTATACTAGTTAACAGGCTATGAGTGGTATTGTACTATAAATAATCACTAGCGAACAGACCAAATCATACTCCGTCGGTTTTCTAATTTTTTTATATTGATTGTAGTCTGTAATATCAACAGATCTTTCTTCATATTATATTAAATAAAAACATTTATAGATAAATTACAAAATATCAGTAATAGAAAATGTGACAAACAGTTTCCAATGCTTACTTACATTTTATCCGAAACCTTGAAAATCCGAAAGTATTTCAGTTCCTTGGAGCACTAATTCCAATTCTGTCAATTACTGAACAATTGCTTTTGGAGCACAATCAACAGATACTCTGGTTATGTTTCTATAAAACATATTTAGATTAACCAAAACATATCAGGATCAATGAAATCTTATCGAAAAAGTCCAAAAAGTTTCAACACAGCTTTCATTGCAATGGCCGCGCTTCAAGACATGCAGTAAATGAACGTGTTTGATTGGCTTAAAAGATGCGTCAGTTTGGAACGAAATAAATAGTCACAGAACCGACATACGTCATTAAGATACCAACATAAAATGCATGATTTGGCGTTCCACAGTGTCACAAGTAGTTTCATCTTGTAGAACTCGTCGAGCTGAAAAAAATGATACCAAACTCGACATTTTTCACAAAAAATGACTTGCGTCACTCTGGAACTAAAGCGACGATATGTACATGGACAGAAGTTAAAAGCATTGTGTGGTGGTTTTTTTTTTGTTTTTTTTTTTTGAAACATTGACAATTTTGGAACAGTTCCAATGGGTATATTAATGTATCAGTGATGTAATTGTTTTGTATCAAGTGCAAACCCTAAGTTTTGCATGTATTGTATAGATAATTCACTTTTGGTCAAATGTCAACAGGTTCAATGCATTATAAAACAGGTAATTTGAAACCCAAAGAAGTATATGGTATGTAATAACTACCCCTCTGATACTAAAATTTTCAAGGAATGCAGAATTGCAAGTCTTCTCCAATTAAGAGAGAGACTTGGGCTTACAAGGGCTAGCAAGCTAGTGTTTTGCTACAGAATACTCAACACAGATGAATTACATTAATATTGTACCTGTCATGTACAATGCAAATCATGGCTTTTCTAAGAGCAGTGAAAGGCTATAACTGGAAGGAATTTTACACATCTTGCCTCAGAAACAAGTTTTTCTTTGAGATTATTTTTATGATATTTAAATAATGGTTAAAGATTACATTACTTTTACAATTGCAGTGATCATAGTGATAATATGAAATGAAACTCAATCAAGATAGAAACATTTTAATGCTGAACATTTATCTTTTTACCATTCCTGTTAATTTACAAGTCTATTTATAACAAATTTATCTTAACTGTTTTGAAACTACATGATGCCTGGTTGAAACTGTTTTGGGCAGCCATTTGCAGAAGATAAATTATCTTTGAATAATTAAGTTAATACAAAGTTACAAATGACAGGTTATTTATTTCTAACAAAGACATGTTATTTATTTCTAACAAAGACCGATATTTTGTTTAACATTTTTACACTGACATATATCTTTGAAGTGTCTTCAACCTTAGTTTTTATTAGAATACAAAACATTCAGTCAGACAGTTTACACAAGACATGGAGCTTTAAGAAGCTTTAATTCAGTCAAAAATCTGTAATGGACTGCCATGTCTCTACCACTATGTACTCCAAGACTGTGTATGGACATTTCCTTTCACTTATGCCTGGTGGTATCACTATTTGATTTCTAATCTGATGGTGAACACTCCAAAATAAATCAAGAGCGATGACAAGTACTCAAGATCCAACCATGAAATCACATACCTGCATATAAAGAAAATTTATCATGAGTTGAAAGCAATAATAATTGGTCAGCTATAAATTTCAATCATTTTCATATTGTCATGAATAGAAAATAATGTTGAAAAGGAAGAAACACGTCTTGGTGTCCTCGTTTTTGTAGATTTGCTTTGACAACTGATCTTTAAAAAATGTGATAGTGACTAAGTTCTTTTAACCATTTACTGAACATGATTTAACTAAAATATATGACCCACTTACTTGAGAAAAATACTTTAAACAGTATTTAACATGAATTAACTAGTAGTCTACATATGCCATACTGTTTGTTTATTTAGCTATACACTGTAATTATTTACAAAAACGAGAACATTATATGTTATACAATAATATTTATTTTTCATTAATGTAGTTTAAGTAGCTTTAAGTATATATTTCTTACCAAAACGATTTTACAGCAGAGCATGCATGTGTATTTACAATGGATACTGACGTCTTTCATCTCACCACTGTCCTCAGTCTAAATATCTACAGGAGCAAAATATTTCATTGAATTTTATGACAATTTAAATTGGTTATATACAGCTTGACTGTTTGTGCTTTATAAAGATAATAATTATAAATAAATAATATTTTCAGTTGGAAGAAAATATATTCAACTAAAACACACTGATAATCATATTGAAACGTTTATCCGAAATATGGGCTGTCCGAAATATCTAAACATTATATACTTCTGAGAGATAATCAGGTAGCGCTATATAAAATTGATAAAATCAAATTCACCAGTCTGGTGTCAGATGCGAATGATGTTGTATCAAAAAACAAATTTATTAGATTTACATGGAAATGAAAATATTACAACATTTATTGGGATAAACTGAATTTGAAATGACACACCCACCTGACGATTATACGAAGTTGTCTTTCATTGATACTTGTTCACAAGATGAAACCATTTGCATTTCGTTACAAAACAAAAAACTCTGCCAATTTCCACATATCATTTGCTTTTCCATGTAAGTTTTACTTTCCCACCGGCATACAAGTATTACCCAATATAGATAATTAAGCAATGTTGTTGATATTTGTTTGTACCCGGAAGTGCAAAATATCGTGAAATCTCGCAAGTCACATGACGAGACTTACATACCCTATTGAGAATTATCAGGGGAATTCTATATAGAGTTATTCAAGATGGTGAGAAAGAAATTAAACAACTTATTTTGCCAGAGATATATAAAGAACAAGTATTACGTCGACTTCATAATGATGTTGGACACCCAGGACGTGACAGAACTACATCTCTACTTAGATCAAGATTTTATTGGCCAAACATATCATCAGACGTAGAAAAATGGATAAATCAATGTGACAGATGTATAAAAAGAAAATCATCAGTAAACATCAAAGCACCATTAGTAAACATTATTTCAACATATCCATTAGAGCTTGTGACAACAGATTTTCTATCATTAGAACCATCAAAAGGAGGAATTGAAAATATTCTTGTCATCACCGATCATTTTACAAAGTATGCATTAGCCATTCCATGCAAAAATCAAACAGCAAAAACAACAGCTGAGGCAATATACAACAACTTCATAGTCCATTATGGGATACCAACAAGATTACATTCCGATCAGGGTGCCAATTTCGAATCAGAAATCATTCAGGAATTATGTAAAATCATGGGAATCAAGAAATCTCGGACTACACCATACCATGCTATGGGAAATGGTTCTTCTGAACGATATAACCGAACATTGCTCAATATGCTTGGAACTTTGGAACCAGAACAGAAAAAAGATTGGAAAAAGTATATACATCCCTCGTTTATGCCTATAATTGCACCATTCATGAAACTACGAAAATATCGCCGTTCGAGCTGATGTTTGGTCGAGCACCTAAATTGCCAATTGATTCTTTATTTGACAGTGAAATAGAAACGCAACAATAGATCAACAAAAGAATATCTTCAGGAACTTAAGCATAGATTGAAAGAAAACACAAGATATTGTCAACTAAATTTTCTGAACAGGCAAAGACCCGACAGAAAGAATTCTACGACAGAAAAACAAAAGCTTCGAAGTTGGAAGTTGGTGATATTGTATTAGTTAAAACTTTGGCGTTTGATGGAAGACACAAAATAGCGGATAAGTTTGACTCTGAGACATACCAAGTTATTGAACATCCAAACATGGATATCCCTGTTTATGAAGTGAGATCAACATCTGGAATAGTTAGGAAATCACATAGAAATCATTTACTTCCAGTAGGGAATGTTTACAACAGTTCTAAAGAGGAAGTTAATGAAGAAAGGAAAAGTGAAAAGAAATTGGTTTCTACAGAAGTATTGGAAAAGAAGACTTCATTACACGATGGAGTTGATGAACATTCAAAACCGACGGCGCGTTGTAACTAAGAATAAAAAAAAGAAAGGTAATAGAAAGCAAAGAAAGAATATACATAGAAGTGAAAAGTGACGTCCACGGATTTCAGAAAGAGGATTCAGGAGAGTATGTATCACTAACATACAATAAAGGGGACGCCTTTAAGCCTAATCCTAAGGTTGATGATAAGAAGGAAGATATAATCGATGAAGAAACTACACATGCAGATGACGTTAATACAGAACCTATTGTCAGAGAAACTGTGAAAGAAACTTCACCTATAGAAGAAGCAAGGGATACAATAGAAAACAGAACTGATGTTTCAGAAGAGATTGACCCAGAGTTAAAACATACAGACGAGATTAGTATAGAACCTTTTGTCGAAGATACTGTCAATGAAACTTCAACTTTAGAAGACAGAATTGTACCAGAAAAACAATACTAATGTTTCAGAAGAGAGTGAACGCAATGTCGAGACGATCATCAAAGATCAAGAAAGAAACCTGAATGGACTAAGGAATATCATCTTTATCAACAGACAGATAGTTTTGCAGAAGCAAAGGTTTCTATTATAAACAATTTAGTGTCTTCAGGATTGTTCGACAAACTACCACCTGATTTAACACATAAAATTATACAGTCTATAATGCAGTAATAGGTCATTTAATGAATATTGTACATTACTTTATTTTTATCATGTATTGATGTAAGAATGCTTATTTTTTTTTCTTTCTTTCTTTGAAAACTTGATTCAAATGCTAAGAGAAGATAGATATTTTTTAAAACATGTTTATCAGTACAGCTCATTTTTGAACCTAATTTTTTAAATACATTTTGGTGAAATTGAATTTTTCATTCATATGTATCATTCATATTTTTGTATATTATTTCAATTTTTTGTTCATTTTTTGTATTTTCCTGAGATTCATAGTCAAGTAATTTTCTTATAAAGTACTGAAATTGTGGGGACACCAATTTTTGCTAGCAGGGAAGGTGAATGTAATATTTTATATATAATTTTTTGTCGTTTCAAACATGCAGTTTTAAATTGTCTTATGATATTGTTGGTATTTTAATGATAAGAACTGAAGAGAACATTATCTGTCATACAGACTTTGTGAATAGCGGCTTTGAACAAATATGTTTTTCTCTTGTACAGGATATTTTTTGTCTTAGTATTTTTACTTAAGCTTTAAGGAAGTAAATGACGGGACGTCATTTCACAGACAGGGGAAGTGTGTAGTAGGGTCCGAAATACATCTTTTTGTTATTTATCACTTTTCTGATGTTTTCGGGGTATCTTTGCGCTAATTTTTATTAATGCTGTATACTCTTCTACTTGGAGGTAGAGCGGTATTTGGTCAGCGTGTAGGAAAAGGCGGTCTTTTTGGCGTGGGTTAGATATATTTATCTTTAAATGTAGTTAAAATGTTTAAGTAAAGGATAATTTCTTACATTAAATATATTATGCTGTTATTGCTAAATCATTCCCTGTATTTTAATGTTCACTTTTATTTTGGCTTTTTATTTAAATTTATACCTTGTTAAATGTTTGACATTTTGAGATGGCATTTTTAATGACCGAACTTCTATTCTTTCTTCCCTAATTTAACTAATATAACTAGTTTCGGATCTCAAGTCTTTAAATGCATAATACTTAATATCTAATTTGTTCCTGTTTAACAAGGCACCAGTTTTAGTATTGGGAGAAGAAAGATATGTGTGATAGAAAGATAAATATAAAGATTTACAGACTCCTTAAGTTTGGTGAGTAAACCTGAGTAATTTGTAAAGATATGTATGATAGAGACGTGTGTTTGATAAGGGACGTGTGTAAGTTATGTAATTTGTATTTTGATAACATATCTTATATTTTTGATAAAATGAATATGAATGAGTTATGATTTAAAACGGACCACTGAGCTGCATATGTTTTATGTAAAATAATAATATATATGTAATAATTAATAATATGATGAACTGAATTGATAATATATATATTCTGTTCATATATGTATATTTATATATTTTCAGAACCATAAATATTATAGATCCTATGGAATGTCATTTTGATGTACCAAACCGTAAATAAATGTTTGACTGAAGCAGAGTGTTATTTGTATGCTAAACCGTATAGACCAGTCCTGCCACATATATATATTAGAGCTGTCATCGATAGAAATGATATTGATGTATCGTTGATATTTTTCTGTTGATCAGTACACATTTTCGAAAATTGATAATTTTTATTTTAATAATATGTGAATGTCCAGAAATTATGAAAATTCAACCAAAACATATGCAGAATAATATTTTATAGCAGTGATGACAAAATATTGTTAGCAAAAATCATGCAATGGGCATTTGTTTGAAACAGGACACATTTATGAAAAGACCATGTTTTTAATGAAAGCATTATTACAATTAAACAATTTAACAATTATGGAAAAGAATTAGAGACAAGTAGTTGATACCTAAAGTATGTAGTTATCAATATATCTGTGTATCATCAATATTTTTCATCTTAAATTTGCTTTCCACTGAATCAATGACAGCTCTAATATTACTCGAATCATTAAAAAATATCAACAAAATTTGTTAACTGAAAAATCCCTAGCTATATTGTTTGTTGTCAAATTAAAATTTTTCTTTAAACGTTAGTTTCCTAAAGTAGTTTTATATATAAAATTTGTATTTTAGAAATAATTTTGCTATAATTATAATAATGCAATTATAGTGAAATATTTTAATGCAGTTACAATATTTTTTGCATCAAATACTGAAAAAGTCCTAGCTATATTGTTTGTTATCAAATTAAAATTTTACTTTAAATGTTAGTTTCCTAAAGTAGATTTATATATAAAATTTGTATTTTAGAAATAAACTGCTATTTAATAATGCAATAGTGAAATATTTTAATGCAGTTACAATACTTTTTGCATCAAATAATGTTCAACTTATCTGTAAAAACACTGGCGCAAAAAGAAACTTACAGTAGTTTTTGCACCAACAAATTCTGAAGCTGTACTTACGTTTTTTGTTTTTATGACAAAGAAGTCATTTTTTATCAAAATTCAGCTTCTAAGCTTCAGAGACTTGTGAAACTTTGTATTTCTCAAAAAGTGATTTTCTCAAAAAATGTCAGTTACATGACTTTTTGCTCCACAGTGACGATGTACTATGACGTCATTGGGATTGTGACGTTGCAATTCTTTCTAAAATGACGGCTTAACATTTGCAGGGCATGTTATAAACAAAGCGAAAGTTTTCATCAAAATCCTTCGGTTATTGGCGTTTATATCTGTTTATTATTATAAGATATCAAGAAATGTACTTAAATTTGATTTCAATTTGCTATCACTTGGTCAGTAGCTTAACTTTGATTATTATTAATTAGTATAAATAAATACATATTTGTACATGTTTAAGAAAAAGCATGCTTCATTAACACTTTAAAGCTACTATCCCTAACAGTGTTGTTTTAATAACTGTACACAAATATGTTGATGTTTTTAGACCTGTTTTGTGTGGGAGAGTACCTTTAACACTTATAATATATATCAAGTTTTAAAGCAGCATGGCCCTAGATTCATGCTTATTTTCCTGAAACTTTTGAAAATGTATTAAAAAGTAAAATATAGTTAAGTGAACTAAAGAAATTAGTTTACACATTACAAACAACACTTACAACCCATGTTAATTACCAAAAAGTTGTAAAAATTTACATACATACCTACCTGTTACTGCATTAGTGACGCAGTGGAATTATAGTGATTGATACTGCAAAATTAGTCATTAATCGCGCATAACATGTAAATTATTTATTGAATATTGAATCTTTTTACTTTTCTCAACATCTTAATTCTCCCATTCTCAATAAAATAAAGCATTTGAGGTTGAAAAATATTAAAAATTTGATGTTGTCATCAGTGGTAAAGCCAAAGTACGGAAGTCAGTCAAAAGGAATAAAATCATCGTTGTATGAAGCAAGGGGTATGGATGCAAAAAAAAATCTAGAGGTAACAAATGACACAATATCAAAGTTAGGCAAAATCAACCCATTGTTTGGTGTGTGTATGACAGTGGGAAACCAGGCGCAGAGTACTAGTACACGTTTGGGTTTTACTGTTCCTCATGGCTCGCCACTGTCATACCAGCTGTCCCAGACTGAAGGGAACTTTTCTGTCAGTGCGAATATTTCTGCAATAAAAGGCACAAAATGTGATAATGTTTCTAAAGTCCCCAATTTCCCATGGAATGACAATGACATTGATGAAATCCCCCAAAAGGTTCTAATAGAAGCTGGCCTTCATATTACTAGTGAACAAGCAACTGATATATTCAATAAAACAACTGATCAGTCATCATGTGAGCTCTGGCATGAAGTACGGAAATGTCGGCTGACAGCCAGTAAATTCGGAGCTATTGTTCGTAGAAAGAAAGACAAAGGAAAATTTATAAAGACCCAGAACTTTACTTGTGAAAAAAAATCTTTCTAATGTGCCATCTATTAAATAATTATGGACAGGAGAATGAAGAAAAGGCTTTGAAACAGTATATTCAGTATATGAATAACACAGGGAGACATGTTAAGGCATTCCAAGCTGGTTGTGTCATTAATTCCAATTTTCTTTGGTTGGCTGCTTCACCAGACGGAATTTTATTTGATGAGGATGCTGGTTTTGGACTGATTGAGGTCAAATGTACATATTCAAAAAGAAATATCACACCTGTTGAGGCTTGTATGGATCCATCATTTTTCTGCAATGAAGATGGCCATTTTAAAATAAAAAATGACCACGAATACTATGCACAGGTCCAAGGTCAGTTAGGAGTTTGTGGTGCACTATTTTGTGACTTCATTGCATACACAAATAAAGGCCTTGGCATTCAGAGAATTGCCTTTGATCATCAATATTGGAGAGACATGACCTCAAAATTAAGAGACTTCTTCTTGACAGAAATCAAAGAAAAGTAATAGAATATTGCATAGCACTGGCCAGTGTTTTAAGTTAGAACACAATATTATATAAATGACAGTGCACTCAATTTCTATCACGTTGTGTGGGAACAAGATATTATTAGAATATGTTAAAGATAGGTAAGAAAAGTGCATTGATTAAGCGTTCGTACAACCTAGCGACCATAATTGTCTTACAGCATTTTGCCTCTCTTCATGTCATGTAGCTAGATGCTCAGAGAAAGTGTATATATACATGTACATATTATATAAGATTTATTAGATATATTTTATGTAATTTTAACTTTTTGATTGTATTTACTGTAGATGATGAAGTGCTGTTAGATTTGTATAATACAGTTCATACATTTTTGTTTTTATATGAGGGATTAACAATATGTGCTTTTTTCATAGGAATCTTTTATTTTTGTTACAGACCGTTTTAGCCCTTCTAACATTTTTATAGCTTGAAGTCTGTTGAACTTTAGGTTTCAGATGATTTGAAATTACCTTTAATTTCAAAACTGCTAAAATGTCTGTAAGTCTATCTTTTATGAAAGAAAATCAGAAAGAATAAAGTTCAACAAATCCCTTACTATATTACATGACTGTTGGCACCTCTGTCTGGTCTAGTCATGTAGAGAGATGTTGAGAGATGTTGAGAAAAAGTGTATATATATGTACATACTTAATAGTATTTATTAGATATATTTTATATAAGTTTTTGTTCGTACTTACTGTAGATAAGGCCAAAATAAAAAATATGTCTGGTTCAGGGAACCCGACCGACCCTATTTTTTTACCGCCGACCCTAAACTTTTTTTTTGATTTTCGGTACGAAAATTTTTGGGTACGAAAATTACAAATGTGAAAATTTTGTTTAACGATGCCTGTTGAAATAGCCGATGAGTAACAATCTTAAAATAATAAAAAAATATTTAATCTTTGATGATCAAAACCCAAAAAAGTAGAATTGTGAATGTTTCTGCAGGAAACAGACAAATTTTCAATTGTCACATTTTTTCGCGATGCCGCTTTTTATAATTAAAAAAAATCGTAGCCAAAGGAAGATATGTTTTTGTTAAAATGGTGTGTTACTACTTAAATAACACTTAAAATATAGTTTAAGAATTAATTAACTATAAATAGTTGAGATGGAGCCATTACCAGTATGTGTTTGTAACAATAATGAATTTTTTTTTTTTTAAGGGAGGGGGGTGTAAGGTCTGATGATGTTATGGTTTTTAAATTATATTTCAAATCTTTTCAAATCACTTTTATGGTACATTTTTTTCCATTTGGGGACATATTACCATTTTCCTGAAAAAGCCTTTTCTTGCTGTTCAAACTCTGACTCCCCAACCCTTAGTCTGCTATACATGTATCAATACATGTATTTGTCAACTGCATATAAGTGCAGAAAAGATGGCTTAAAACATATTCAATGTGATCTGGAACTCCTACTTTTTTTGTGCTTGGGAGTCTCAAGAAACTCCTTCTCTGTGAGAACCCTGCAACTGTTGGTACCCAGTTGCACATAATTATATATCTATAGACTTTCGCCCCCTGAAGACCATTTGAATATGTTTAATATTAAATTATATATACAGTAGCTGTGTTTTTGGTCCCCGGAATAGTGCATGTCAGATGCTCTAAGCTTATAATACAGCATTACTATTAACTTGTTACAGAGGTGACCCTTGATCTTTTAAATTGTCAGACCTGTCAGATGCAGGTTAGCATAGTATAGCGGGTGATTCAAAGGGAAAGGGTACATAATAAGCAGAATAGAAAAGCAAATTAGTATGAATACAGGTGCTACATGGTAAAATGACTACATACAAGAAATAAACAACACAATATCATATGTTGATGGTTTATTGCAAAATGGTGTATGCATTGATTGATTACAATCTTTGTTTAAGTATGTTAAGCAAGCAACACATCTATATATGGAAAATTAAGACATTCTCCCAACCCATAAAAAAAAAAAAAAAAAAAAAAAAAAAAAAAAAAAAAAAAATCCCTACCCTCCTGATTTTTTGGACCAATGTTTCCTGAACCAGACATATTTTTTTTTTGGCCTAATAATGTGCTTTTAGACTTTTGACATATATATTTCATACAATTGTCTTTCATACATTGGATTTGATTAAAAAATTTTCATAGGGACCAATAACTGTTTTGATAGAGACAGTTTTGTAGTCATTCAGCTCCAGTCAATTATGTTTATATCTTTAAGTCTATTTGTTTTTAGGATACTGATGCTTTTGAGATCACTTGGTAGATTTTGACCAAACTTACAGGAATGACCCTGTGCTAAATTGATTTGATCCATGTGAATGTCATGGGAGCTGAAATACATACACTTTGTAAATTGTAACTGTACTTAAAATATCATATCATGTCCTGTTAATATTTCAAGATTAGATAGATGTTATTGTGATATATGATATTTTGTGTTGAAGTATATACATTATATTGTTTTACTAAAACAAGATATGTTTGTCAGCTTTTTTTTAAATCTTTTTTATTTGCTTCTTGCACAATTGCCTATGTATATTTATAGGGTTATATATGGCCATTTCGCTGGGGGTGGGCAAGGGGACATGCGTGAGATAGTAAATTGTCAGACTATGTGGAAAATAGACAATTGTCAGAGTATGTGAAATTTGAATTTGTTTTTGTGATATTTGGCAGGATGCATGAATCTTGTGATAACTTTTAACATGGTGGGAAGTTTCAAATAATAATATGTCAGACTTTGCGAAATATGAATTTGTTTTTGTGATATTTGCCAGGATGCATGAATCTTGTGATAACTTTTAACATGATGGGGAGGGAGTGGGGCAAATGTCAAATATTCATTTGTCAGACTATGTGAAATATGATATTATTTTTGTGATATTTGCCAGGATGCATGAATTTTGTGATTACTTTTAACATGGTTGGGAGGGGGTGGGGCATGTTTCAAATATTTAATGTCAGACTATGTGAAATATGAATTTGTTTTTGTGATTTTTGCCAGGATGCAGGAATCTTGTGATAACATGGTAATGAACATCAGCCAGTTATACTTAAATTATTGTGCTGTATATGAAATGTATTTATGTGCTGTATATGAAATTGTTCCTTAATTAAATTATTGTTTTGTACCACTGTGTTGTTTTGGCCCCCAAGATAAGTATTATGGCCATTAAAAGTCAACTAGCTAGATAGCTATATACTTCTTCACATGAAATAATTCAAAGGTTCGAACAGTAATCAATCCACATTAGTGAGTGATTTGAAGAAGACATAAACCACTCGGCCACAGAGACTTAATGAACCTACATTCTACAAATTATTTATCACATACCGAAAGTAAAAACTGTAAAATATCATATATTTTCATTGAAGCTTTTGCACAGTTACACACATTTATAGAGTATTTCTTTCATAAAATATCTTGTGAAATGTTTGCCAAGTCATGGCTTATCATTTTAGCTCCATTTTATGAAGAACAAAATAAGTGGAGCTATTGTCAGGAACTATATATGTTCAACTCAAACTGTTATACATATTTATTGTCATAAACCCTCCATTTCAAAGGGAAATACTGGTCTTGAAATTGTTTCTTGTAAAGTTATGCCATCTTTTCAAATTAGATTTTGAGCTCGCATTATTATTTTTTTTCGTTAAAGTCCATTTTCATAAAAACATTCCATATGTGTTATTTACATAAAGGTGTTGTTGACCTTTGAAAAATTGTTTTCAACAAACATCTGTATGACTCGATAAAATAAACATACAATTCATTACTCCTTGAAGAGTGAAAAATGGTACAAATTCTTCTTGCATTGCAATCTCTGCAGTGTGACTCTCTGCTGAGCGACCCTGTCTCTAGTACCTGTTTCGACTATTTTGTGTAACCATAAAAGAGGTCAATAATTACCACACAAATTCCATGAATGTGTAATTAAACTGCAAGATAATGGAGGCATTACAGAAATTATGGGGCAGTGTGATGAAGGCAGTTAGTCTGTTAAATTAGCTGTTGGTAAAATTTTTGACTTCTGCAATTACATGTATGTACCTGTATGTGAATGTCTCGTGTACATTTACATGTTTTTCTTTCTCCGGGATAATACAAGAAACTTAACTGTCAGATTTATTTCTTACATTTATTTACTTCAATTTCATAAGCTCTCCAAATAATACATTAAATTAAGTAGTTATAAAAATATAGTCCCAAAAATCAACATATGAAATGTTTATACAAAATATCATAAACACGAAATGGCATCAATATAAATGTTTACCCTTACATTATGCTAACAATATGACATAACTTTGTACACAACTTGGCCACATTCAACTTTGATTTCTATCTTGTTTTCTTTGGGGGGGGGGGGGGTAAAATATCACTCCATGACATTTACATTTTTTTGGCTAGTGAAACAAAAGGTATCCAGATGTTAAGTGTATGGGTAAGAATCACTCAAAATGCATTTAATTACCAGGGCATGATATAATAATGTCAGCAATGCACAAACAGTCCAAATCTGATTGATGGAACCAAAAAGTGACATAGGAATAGCTTGATCAAATATGTGGAAGTTCTTAATCTTATTGATTGCTCTTTCAACATGAATTCTCTTTGCAGCAATGCTTTGAGTTTGTCTCACATCACTTTCAGTCAATTGATCATACTGTCCTAGGAATGGAGGAATGTTTAATTTCACTCATATTTGATCTAACAGGTCTTGAATGTCAAATCCCATGTCTGCCATTACACTATCTCCATTATTAAAGTTCAAACCTAAAAAGCCACTGCGTTCAGTAATGTCACGGTCAGAAATATTTCCGAAGTACAACTGACTAACAAAGGTTATACTTCCACAAGGGGCTATTCTTATTAAACCTTTAAATGTATTTGAACTCTTATAATTGCTGTAACTTTGACTTTTCAAAAGAGGAGATGAAGACATTTCAGTTTTCAATTCTGTACAGTCAATTATGACTCTAGTTGTTGGGTATTTTTCTTTAAAAGTAACAGTAACCTGCTCCCTTGATGGCCAAATATTCATTGAACCTAGGCGTAAATAAAGAAAATATGCCCAAGATATGATAATCACACTCACAGCGCCTAATGAGACATTGAACCTTTTTGCTATATCAAATTCAAAGAGTCCGACCCTCACACGGCACAAAAATAACAAAAACTGATTAGCTGGTGTCAGTTTCTTGCTATTTTTTACTTGGTTTTCTTCATTTTCTGTGTCTTTCTTTGCACACATAACAATATTTTTACCTTTCTCTCCAGGGTTGACTAGTTCCAAAACAGTATCAAATACTTCTCTAGAAGAAAACCCTGTATAAAATTGCACCTCACTTGGTTTCAAATTATTTATGCTGAAGGTGTTTGACTCTTTTTCTGTCTGAAGTTGTGCAATGTCAGATTTTAATTTCTTATTTTCTTTAGCTACATATTTAGTCTTTTCTTGTAAGTAATTAACATGATCCACAAAAATTTTCTTGTTAATAACCTCATCTTCAGCCTGAGTTTCATTGGTACACACATTTGATATTGGGTCAGGAGTGTTGGTTATTTGATCTTCAATTGTAGGTGGATGGTCAACGTTATCAGACGCTACAGCAGGGTAATGACAGTCAGTTTTTAGGTTATTTTCATCATGTTTCTGCTGAAGAACATTCATTTTTCTGCTTGAAAGTGGCTTGTAAAAATGCACTTTGTCTTTCCAACACTCAAATACAGTAGGCACTGCTCCTTGTTTTAAATACCTGCGATTAGAAAATCCAGATTTTTCCAAGGCATCCTTCTCAAAGTGCAAGGAACATACAAATGTGTACTTGCCGACCTGCAGGAGAAAAAAAAATCTGTCTAAAAGTTGTTACACAAGTAGTTTTTTATTGCCAGATTGTATATAACAGTCTATAAACATGGTACTGTTTTATCTTTTGAGTTGTAACCAGTGTAATATAAATGGAATATGTAGATGAAGTTTCACAGACTTTTATGTAACAGATAGTCTATAAATATGCTTATACTTAAACTATAAATTTTATTAAAGAAAAATATAAGCAAAAGATAACAATTTATGGAAATGATTGTTTTTCGATGAATGCATTTTTTTTAAATATTCACTGATTAATGAGATTGACACTTTGCAATTTCATTTACTAAATAGTCTCGAAAGACTATGGTGCAAAACTAACCTTGAAGTGTGGCCCTTCATCCCTCTTTATTTTATTTAGCCAAACAGATCGCAGTGGATTGGTGGCTGCAGGAAAACTGTGGTAACTAGGTTTTCCATGACCAGGAATTTCATCATAACCAGTAGTGTGGCATTCCGTTACACAACAGATTTTATTGGACCGGAAAAGAAACCATTCAAAAATGTATAGTTTATATGCATATGAGAGCACAACATTTAATTGATGATGAGTAATTGTTAACTTTCCAAAAAATATGTATCTACCATCATTTCTCTCATAAAAAATGTTTTTTTCTAAAAAATTCTGTACACTATTTGCTAAATGTTTACAAATTTTCTGACTTAAAAAATAATGACTTTAACTCATTTTTCCCCTCCCGTTTTAAATTTTTTATAAGGAAATTTTTTTTAAAAATTTAAAACTACTATTTTAAAAAAAACATTTGGGGGCACAAAAAATTTAATTTTACTGTTTGAAATCTTTTGGGGAAAGTCAACCCCGGGACCCCTCTGGGTATTCAAAAGGAATTTCCCAAATCGATTTTCAAAAAAAGTATTCCCCCCTGTTGGGATCAAAAAATTATTTTGGGAAAACCAATATTGTTGGGTCAGCCCTTTTTGGGGTCCATTTTCTGAAATTTTAAAAAAATTTTAGATAAAATTAAACTAAAGCCCAAAAAAAAAAGTTAAAAGTGACCCTTTTAGAGTAAAATTTTTATACTTTTTTCTCGAAAATTCATAAACATTAAATCAAGAAAATGCCGGTCAGATCGCGAAAATATATGACACATTTAAATAACGACGCGATAGTTGATAAAAAGATGAAACTGCAGAATAACGATACAGTCTTATGTTTTTGTATGACAAAGTATTGTTTTACACCATATTTTTCACAAAATACCTTGTTTTGCCGTAACATCAACGATAAGAAGTAACTTCCTTTGCGCATCCACAAATCTGCCTTTATCCCCCAATGACGTCAATCAAGGGCGACAACTCAAAACCGCTCTTAAATGAAAGGGTCTATATAGATATGAATGTTATAAAATGAAAACTTATTAAACAACCAATACCAGTTCACATCGTTGATTTATTTCTATTTAAAATTCACAAAGTTATAAAGATAAAGATAAAGTTATAAAGTTATAAAGATAAAGTTATAATTCAATTTCAATTTAATACCATTTTCTTTGTGATAATGAAATTATTACCGATTTAATTTAAATCACAAACCACAACATTAAATGTACCGTTATTCACGTTATATACATTATAAGAGTAAAATATAATGGAGAAGAAAAACAATAATTAAACACAAATTTATTTCATGTGATCTATATTAAAACAACATTCTACTTTTCATAAGAAGCTCAACTTATAAATGGTACAGTTGATTATAAAACAAAGTCACTTTTACATCTGTTAACATCATAAATGAGAAATAAATTCACAAAAGTCTTTTGATATTAAACTAAAGTATGGTAAATAATTTTTTTTATTTTTTTTATTATTTGGCTTTCATCTTTATCATAAGTCATTTATACATACTTCAGTAATTATAGTAATGTACCATTGCTTAAAAAGCTTTCTGCATTGATCGCCCGTAATATTTTTCATTATCTAACGTAGTTCACAAGCATCTAGAAAAGCAATGAAACACAACATTGAGAACAAAACATTTCTTGCATCTAAGACAGGATTATCTACCGTTTACACCGGTTCTAGACAACTCTGTCTTACACCCCCATGTAAGACAAGTCGCGTGCTTTAAATGATGTCGTTAACGCGCGCTTTTAATGAATGAATCGCGTACTTAGGATGACGTCATTTTTTCCTTTATGAATGAAGTTGTATGTTCATACGCTACTATAAGAAAAAGTGCGTAATGAGAATATCAGTTTTCATAATTTCTATTCCGAAAATAATTGACATGTAATATGCAAGAAAAAGAATCAAACAAGCAATTGGTACAGACGGGAATATCAAGCTCTCGGGTAACTGTTAGCGGAAACTCGGCAGAGCCTCGTTACCGCTGTAAACAGTTACCCTCAAGCTAGATATTTCGGCGATGTAAGATTCTTATATGTACTAAAGAGTTAAATTGTCTTTGCATTATTGAATAAGGTTTTAAATGAATGATATCTCTTATAAACATTGCAAATGAATGTTCAAGTATTCTCTTTATAAAGAAATCTATTTAAAGAAACCCATGACACGATCAATATCTTTCCTCATCAAACTTGTATAATTTTCTTTTTTTCCCCTAGTTTTTACAGGATCACGGACGGAAACACAGAATTTCCTCCTCTTGGATCCAAACAGTATCAGCAGTTAATGGCCATTTGAATGACTTCTTACCTTCAATCATAAATGAAATGAAAATATCCTCCGTCAATTTTATCATACTTTAGAATTTTAGCCATATACCATCTATTATTGTACATAGCAGCTACATACATGTATGTATTCACAGCATATGCCTAGTTGTGGGAGTTTTTCTAAAATGATTCATCGGGTCTGGGGAATTTGGCCTTTGCATTTCAACTACATCGGCATCTTCTTTAGGTAAATAAGAAGCACTGTTTTCAGAAATGAGTACTTGCCTTTTCCATTCAGAACAACCAATATCAAATTTACCACCACTGAAGCATTTTCACAACAGTAGCATGAGGTTTCTCTTGTTGCTATTTTGCCGTCACCAAAGAGGTACAACTGCATGAATTTGAAGAATACCTTTTATTGGCTTCACTGTCATATCAGATATTTCTAATTTTGCTTCATCGCTTTTATCAACACATATATATTTCAAATTGGAACTTTCTTGACCTTTTCCCCATTTGAAAAAGTATTCTGCGTTCTGTAAGACTACCTTATGACGACGTACAGCCATATCGGCTAGGCGCTTAAGGGCCCCGGTTTTTTATAAATTTTCCCTCTCAGGGGCCTTTCCCCTGGCCCCTTCAAAAAACCATGTTTTCCTGAAAACCTGAGAAGGGCTTTTCTGATTTGCAAAATAATGAAAAATCGGCGGGTTTCCCAAAATTGGGGACTTGGGGTCGGGCATTTAAAATTGGGCATCTTTCAACGGCAATATCCCCTTTCACCCCCCATTCCAAACCTTTTTCATTATTGGGGGAAAAACATATTTCAGGGGTAGCCCCGTTCCCTTAGAAACAACACTTAGATTTTTGCTTAACATTTACCTTCTTTTTTGTCTAAAATTTTAAAAACAAACCCAAAAATGTTTAAGGGTTTCGGGGGACTTTTTTTCAAAAGATCTGTCTGGGTTTTTTTTGGCAAATGAACATGAATTTAATTTTTTTGCCCAAATTTCCCTTTTGGCATATGGCATGGTCACCGGGGAGTTCTTCTTTAAGTTATCAAGATTGTTCATACTGTGCCTTTACTCTTATGATGTGCTGTCTAAAATCTGCCAGATCTTTCTGCATTCTCTTTATAAACTCGCCCTTCGATTCTTCAACATTTACTATCTGCATTCTCTTGAACTCTCTTCTCTTTTTACCACTATTATACGTTGCCATTCAGGAATGTAATTGTATTGTTAGTTATATTTCTATACTTTTCAAGATATCTAAATCATTCATTTTTTTCTGTTAAGACGTCCAGGCTGTCTGTAGAAATAACTTTGCATGCCTCTTAGAGTTTTACATTTCAGAGCCATATTTTGGTGTCGCTGACAGTGACATGCTTTTTTGTTACAAAATTGCACGAGTTGCACGTGTTTCGGGCGTAAACGACTAAATGTAGTCAAACTAACCTTCGGTAAATCATTCTCAGCCTTGAATTATAGGTGCAGATTATACAGATAATCGTTTAAAACCCTCTTTTGTTTCTGTACTTTTCCTACATTTTTGTTATCTTTCTTTCAAGGTAAACACGTGCTAACATCATTTCGTTCCATAAAGTCTGTAATTATTCTTCTTAATTCCCTTCTCTTTTGAGATAATCGTTCTACGCGTTCTTTCATAATTTTTTTAATTTTTCTATATCGCCTTTGATCGATACCTGTATAAGTGGCAAGGTTTCTGCTCATTTTATATTTCTGAATTATTTTGCCTCCAAGCACACGGATCCATTCTTTACTGTTTTGTGTGTTGCTGCTTGTCATTTTCATCTCTGATTCTAGGCAAATTTGAAAATGCAGACGCTTGAAAATGTTCTTCTTTGACTTTGGCGTTAAGTTTATCTATTTCTTTTTAGTTTTGTTCTTTGGTGTGAGATTATTAATATCGATTTCTTTTGTGTAAGGACTTTTGTCCTCCTTCTTCTTAAGTCTCTCGAGCCTTTTCCTTATACTAGAATTCCTTTTTTTTGAAGATCGACATTTTTTTCGTTCATGATTTTCAATTTCTTGTTAGCGTTCAGTAATTTTGTATTTGCCTTTCTCTTTCTGTTATGGATTGGAACTTGAAAATTCATTTTAACTGTCATTCTTGATGTACCAGGGTCATTTCCCAACTCTGTATCCAAAACAGTTGAATCACATGGACCTGTGTCTACGCTTGAAAGGGAAGTTGTTATATTTGAAGAATTCACTGCATTTTTAAGCGATTTCATAGCATCTCTGTTTTTCTTCATACACATTCTAATTTTCTCCCGGCGTTTTGCAAGTTTTCTTGTACTAAGTTCGTCTGTGGGGACATAGTACTTTTTCACCCGCTGTGACTCTTTTTTTAAATAATCTTTCCCTTTGAGCTGCTTTTGTTTCTCTCTATACTTCTTTTGTCGCTCAGCATTTGTCATACGAACCATTATCTGAAAGTAAATAGGATATTTAGTATGTTGTGAATTACGTTACACTATAAGTGAATTACGTTACAATAATTTCATACCAATGGCTACTCTGATATGCAAAAATATTAATAATAATAATAATAAATTTATCATTATATTAAACAAAGCAATATAAAGTACAAATAATATCAATTACATTTTAAAAAAAAAGATTTAGCAAAATTATCAGAATTAAATACCTTGTTATTTTTTGCAATCTCTGCGACCATATACGATTCCAAGAAATACGTGAAATGACGGTTTTAGGCATCAATTATATACATCACAGTAAATAGCTTTTCGTCAAACCAATTTTGGTTTTATAATGCGGATAGTTGCTGTTAGTTGATATTCGTTTTTAAAGTACATGTTACA